CTTATGTTATCTTCCATGTGTGTGTGTGTGTGTGTGTGTGTGTGTGTGTGTGTGTGTGTGTGTGTGTGCAGCATCCATCCGAGTCTGTGCAAATAAGCAGGAGTGGGGTGTCGAGTCGTCTCCTCAGACAGACAGACGGCGCGTGTCTACCTCTGGTCTGGAAACCAGAGGGTGGAGGTGGGGGGAGAACCAGTTGACCAGGAATGAGGCAGGAAGAGGGTGAAACAGACTGGATGGATGGATGGAAGGAAGAAAGGAAGGGATGATGGAGGTTTTAGGACAGCAGGAGGAGGAGGAGGAGGAGGAGAGACGTGGAGTGCAGGAGGCGGAGGACGCCGACACGCTCTCTCCAGGAGTGCTCAGAGTTGCTGCTCATTCATAATTCACCTCTATGGCAAACGCTCATTCACGTATTGACCCCCCGTGGCTGCGCTCAATGGAGTTCTCGCCCCTCCACCTCTCGCCCGTCTCTCAATGGACACCCCTGTGGCGCGACGCCCCCCCGTCAGCCGGCCCGCTTCTTTTCCCACTTTGTCAGACAGTCGCAGGAAAACCTCTACTTGTTTAATATTTCTTCCTTTTTCCCTTCTGTCTCTCGTGGTTCTTCTGACACTGGTGGGGTTTTGCAGCTGGAGGCTCTGATGGGAAATTGAATTGTGTAAATTGAATATTGAATTCGGACTCCACCCTACACACAGATAATTGGTATGGATGGATCAGTGGGTTGGTGCACGCGCTGCAACAGTTTGACTGATTCCCTGAACTCAGCTGAAAGAGTCCGAAACGAATCCATATTCATGTGTGACTGAGCTGCGTTCTTCAACGCAGGCTTCTCGGCGSTTTTCTTACTTTCATTCAGCGTAAACACTCGCATAATAACGGCTATTTTCATATTTCTGATCGTATTAGCGTCATCAGTCGGATACACACACACACTGCTGAGCTTTGGTCAGCGGTGGCTGCCAGCCATATGGCCAAGAGCGTCTAAAATGCAACGTCAGGCGAAAGTATCCAGCTGAGGCTGTGGTACGTTTAGTTCTGAAAGGTAAACCTTACAGTAAACATTACCTTATCAGCAGAAGTGATAAAAATACCCTGACCTCTTAAGTTTTAGAGCTATGATAGAGTGTATTTACTCAGGGAAAAAGAGGACACTGCGTGCTGTGCTCACATGGGAAGCAGCTTTTGCTAATAATAATTTCAGTTTTCCCTGAGAAGCAGGCCGTGCTGAGCAGGTCGTTTTAAGTTTGTGTGCTTGTATGCACAATTAGAAAAAAATCTCTCTTTTTTTCTAGTCTTCTACTTTAGTCTTGAACACTTGTATTACTGTTCCTATGGTTACCTCATCATCTCTTCTGTGACTCCTCAAAATCTTTGTTTTTGTTCTTATAGGGGGTATTTTTGTGTCCTTTTTTTAAAGGTCAAGCTAGGGTGAGAGGTTAAGATTAGTTTTTAGATTTTATCTAGATTGCATCCCTTTGGTGGATTGCATGTCAGAGGTTAAGATTAGGTATTATAGGAGGATGGGGCTAAAGATTTTGTAAACATTAGCACTAAATTATAAAAAGTATTAATAATAATACTCCAGTACCAACACTGATGAAGTCATCAGTGTTGGAGTAACTGCTAAAGTAGGACAAACAAATGGTCACAACAAAAACAGACTCAACAACCATTATTGACCCTTTGCACGTGACGTCACGTGCCTCAGAAGACTGCCCCTTTTTTCCATGTTGGATGGCAGAAACAGACATGCGTCCATAAGCTACTATTGAGCTAGAGGAGAATCAGGAAGTTGGTAGCCTAATATCGTTCTTCCCCCCTGTTGATTTAGCTGTAAAAATGGTCTTCAGCTGCTGTGCAGTCAGCTGCACAAACAGACAAGTAAACAAACCAAACTTRTCCTTTTATCGTAGTCTTATGGGCTCAACACACGGGAGGCGACGTCGCTCGCTCTCCATTTCCTATGGTAGTTGTGCGGTGAAGCGACAATCGCTTGCCCTCCTCCAGCTAAGCGACCGGCGAAAATCGTGCATGTGAAATTTCGCGCTCGTACACGTAGACGTGCACACGCGAGCTTGCGGCGCGACATATAAAAGTTGAAAAATGTTCAACTTTTGTCGCTTAGCGTACAACCAGTCAGCGAGGATTTCATTGACTGACCAATGAGAGGAGAGTATGCTACACACTGCCGTTAGCTAACACTTTCACCAAGTGATTACTTAAAAGCTTTGTGGGAATTTATTGGCACCAGGGTGAAGTTTATGGTAAGTTTTTCCTCATAAAATTGTATCTTGATGTGCGTTTGTTTTTCAATATCATTAGCATCGCAAGATTTGTTTAGTTTACACGTCCGTAATGCACACCCGCCTTCAGAGTCAAGAACCAATCAAATTTTGTGAAGACAAGCGACCTGAGAGCGCGATTCGCAACGCTGCGATCGCCATCGCGTCCCGTGTGTCGGGTTTCACCCTGGCTGCGATGACAGCCGTTAATCGCTGTAGTTTGTCGCTGCCCGTGTGTCGAGGCCTTTAATCGCTGTAGTTTGTCGCTCCCTGTGTGTCGAGCCCTTTAAGCTGCCGCGCAGTCGGCCGGATCTGGAGACCGGACCGGAGTGTCTCCGGTTTTGGACCACTGCGCTGCTGGTTCTAAAATATTATAATCTCTCCATCTGCCCACCCGCAGCACTCAGTGTCATAGTGAAGATATAAACAACAGTGATAGCTGGAAATATAGTTATTTTTACTCAATGTTGAATCAGTGTTGTTAAGTGAAAGGTCGGAGGAGGAGAAACTTTTATTTATTTATTTTTTTCCACGTTGATGGAGTAAACACAAGTTGTGCATTCAGGTGGTCATAAAATCAGACCAGCTGACCATCAAAGCTGTTCATCTTTTTAATTTAACTGGGAATGGATCATTTCAGCTAAATATCGAACAGAAAGAAGCGCAGCTCGGAGCGCTGTTGTAACCYGGAGCTATTCAACATGAAGAGAAGCTACTAGCTTGTTAGCTTGCTAGCCTTCTAGCCACGTTGTCGGCTCTCCGCTTCGAGGTGCTCAGAAACCCGAAAAACATCTAGAATCATGTATGGAATCGGCAAATAAAAATACATTAGCATTAACAAGCAAGTCTTACCTTYRCCATTATGAGATATCTTGTCCCTCCATGTAACAGTAGCACCCTGTCCTGTCCCAGTCAACCCATCGAGCAACAAAAAACTGATAAGCATCCAGGCTTTTATATGCTTTTAAATCAGCTCCAGTGTAGGGGGAAACACCATTTATGACATAGTGGTATAAGTCATGTGGCGTGAATTCAGGCAAAGTTTGCGTTTTGATCAACAAACACGACGTCCGGAGGGAGAAGATATGGGTCGATTTCTATCTAGCTATGTCCAAATTCTGTAAATAATTCTGTCTGTGAGCCCCAACTAGGTGGGCGACTTCCACAGATAAATTATCTAAACTTGAACAAGTAGAAACCATGGCAAAAAGAAAAAACAAACAACTTCAAAAAACAATCACTGCCATTCAGTTCAATACACCGCTCCGTGTCTTCTTCCGTCCGGCATGCCGGTATCACGTGACTTTGTCACGTGGGTGCAAAGGGTCAATACTGTCCTTATGGGAGGGACATTACGTTAAGTTGGTAAACTGTATAAAGTTGGTCGTATACTGGAGTGGTATTGGTGCAGATCTTTTATTTAGGATTTTTAGTAAAACCTTAGACAACTGAACTTATATAAGTCATCTGGTACTGCACAGTGGGATGGTAGGCAGCATTGTTGCTTTAAAGCAAGAAGTTCCTAAGTTTAAAGCTCAGCTGGTGCCTTTTTCAGCAAAGTTTTTATGTTCTTCCCTTGAATGCGTGAATTTTCCCATGATGCTCTGGCTTCAGTCTAAAACCGTGCATGCTAGGATAATTTACCGGGGGAGTGGGTGTGTGAATGTGCGTGGTCGCCTGTCTTGTTGTTAACCTTGATATGAACTGGACACTTGAGTGTTTTGCTTAAATTGACTGCCCAGCGCACTGTACAGCAGGTTGAAAATCGAGTTCCAATTTGTACCAAATACGTTTCATAAAGATACGTCACAGGTACAGTAAGAGTGTGGCCAGCA